GTTCAGCAGACGATATTCCTTGGTACGTTACAGTGGAAAAGATGCTGGTTGGTAGAAGTGTCATATAAACATGCACACTTCTTTCTTAAACCAGGGCATGAGGTTTTACTTGAGGATATTACTTATATTTTTCAAGTGTAGAAATGCAGCAGTTTGTGGGGAAACTGTCAGCAGCTAATGTTTCAGCCCCCTTTCTGTGTGGTACTTATAAAAGATTTAAGAGTTGTTACTAATTATGTAGTTATAGAAGCCTTGTTTTTAATTTGCTGTTAATAAGGGTTCTCTCAACCTGCAATATCTTCTGCAGGAAGAAATAAATGACTTTTGGGGGACTTACCAACTATCCGATTTTCTCTTTTGTAAAATGCGATTCCACTGATGCAATCCACACTGCTTAGTGATGGATTACTATTCCCACGTTGTAAGCCAAGCGTTTTCGTTTCTTAATGGTTGTGGTATTCCTTCATTTCTACAGAGACTTCAGAGGTAGTTTTCCAAGTGCCTGTGCTTTTCCTTAAGCAAATACATCCAAGGCAGTACATTGGATTTTGCATATCACTTTGTTTTTGTTTTGCTCTAGAGATTTCAGATTTAAGTGTGCTTTCTGAGCCCCCATAAAGTAAAACAATGAAGCCTTCATTCTTACCTGGGAAAGGTAGAATGCTCTGTACTGTAGATAGGACTCTTATTTTTGGATTTTGTTCATGTTGGTAGAGAAGATGCACAGCAGTTTTCCTTGAACTTGGTAATCTGGTGGCCTAGCTTTTCCCTGGTCAGGGAAAATCCCCCTGTCAGGCTATGGTCTTCTATTTTTAACTAAGCATACAGTAGCTGATAAATATCTGGTATTTTGAGTAATTATTTTTTTTTTAACTGGCATGGGTCTCTGGTAGCATTTTCCAGCAACACAAGCTTTGTGTGAATTTTTATGGACAGATCTTATAACTACCTTAGCCATCTCTTTTTTTTCTACCTCAGCTTTCATAGCCTTCTTACCATCTGCTGCTTCTCCTGGTGCTGAGACCCAAAAATGACGTAACTGTACTTTCAGTGTGTAAATAGACGTCAGATCTAGTTGCCCCTGTTTTTGCATTCAATCTCCAGAGGGTAAAAAACTTGACTAGTTGTTAGTTAATTTCCAAAGCATTCAATATTTGTCAAGGACATTTGGAATGAGACTGAGGTCAATATGTAAATAGTGCTATGGGTCAATTTAAATGCACTTCAACTGCGAGTTTACTGCTGGTTAAAGGCCTATCACAACAGTGATGATGAGCAGCAATATTAAATTTGAAGATCGTATGTGTCTTAATCACTAGAATTCGAAAAAACAGCATTTAATTTTATGGAATCAATATTGGTAAAGGGTATGTCTCATAAAGCATCTATCATGACAAAGTTAGACTCCTTATAATGAGAAGCATTTGCTGGTAGTGATTCATTTTGAACTGTAGTTCTTATTCTTTACTCTTATTTTTACCATGTTGTGGCCTTTGACCTGGAAGCGAAACTTTTGTCCTCTTGACACTAAAGGTTAACAGAGCAGGAAACTAGATCACTGTGTGTCCCCTCTTCAACCACGATAATTTAGTAATTGTGCAATTATCTGAGGAGTCCCATTCTGATACTAAAAATAGTATTAAAAATTAAATGAATGTAATTAAGATTTTCTAGATCCATACGAGACATCTGTTTTCTGTTTTCAGCAATTATATGCTCTTGCATGTGAAACCCCAGTTGACTCTAAACTTCCAGAGCCACTGGTCTTTTGTGGGGCAAAGAGAAGTTGCAATGGGTCTTGTGTGACTTTGGTCTTTCACCCATCAGTGTTCTGCGGATCTGCAAGAAAGGGTCATTTTCTCCATATACTGCTCAGGTTTAGATAAATCTCTTGGGGCACTTTCCTCCACCCGGAATATTGTTAAGTTGCATTACGCTGGGGAGCACTCCTGTGATGGTAGCGCAAAGGTGCACAAAGAGTCCACCTTGTTCCAGGCGACGTAAGAGTCCGCAGCTACTACATCGATCGTCTTCGTGGAAGTAAAAACTTTTTTCCTTATAGTAAGAGTCTATTCTACTTTTCCTTTCTATAAGCAATCCCAGGACCCACCCGCTCTGAAGGGCGTTACCTTAGCCACCAAGGTGCGAAAAACCATGAGCAGCCGAGTGCACGAGGCAGTGAAGGCGATCGCCCTGTGCCACAATGTCACACCAGTGTACGAGTCCAACGGCGTGACGGATCAGGCTGAAGCTGAGAGACACTATGAAGATTCCTGCAGGGTGTACCAGGCTTCCAGTCCCGATGAGGTCAGTATCCATTTGGGTTGATAAAAATATAAATCCAACTTTGCTTGTTGCACGAAAGAATTTTCTTCGTTAAAAATGTTTCGTGTGTTGGTTACATTTCTTGGATACGTATTTTTTTAATGGAGCTGCAGTAAAACAATTAGTTTTCTATTAATTTGTATAATTATACTTGCGCTTCACCATTAAAAGACTGAAACTTGAAACTTCCCGTAAGAACCCTACCAATGATATACTGAGATCCTATCACCACTTTGACAGCGTTTGAAGGGTTCTTTCATTTATTGCTCCAAATGAACAGACTTGCCTCTGATAATAACCATTTTCACCTTCAGCATCAGAAAGGAAGCTGGCTTTCCCCATTGCTAGAGGTGAGAAATTGTTTGCAGAGAAATCTGTTTACTGTTTAAAATCCTCGAGAAGCCAGGCTTCTGAGGGTGTGCGCGTATTATCGAACGACTGGCATGCAGAGTTAGGTCCCGCTTTCACCTACCATTTAAAATATTCCCAATAGTTTTTTTTCAAATACACAATTAATTCATTTAATATAATATGTTCTTGTCTGTATGATGAGAGCTTCTTTGCCTTTTTCCCTCTCCATTGATGTGCCTGCGGCAACAACGAATGCTCATGCTTCTCTGGTTTTATAGCTACTGTGTGGTGTGTGTGTGTGTGTGTCCTCTCTCACGCTGTAATCCAGCTCTGTGTTCTGCTTACCTGTTTTTCTCCTCTAATGTGTTGCTCTCCCCCGTAAGGGCAGCTTTACAGAAAGCAAATGCCTTTGGATTGAAATGAGATCTGAATGATTTCCAGATGGTAATTTTTGTGATCTGTGTTTAAGGTCTTTTTTTTTTTTAATTTTTTTTAAATGCATTTACTAGCTATTTAGGCACAAATTTTCTGTTTATTTACCTGTATGCTGTGGTGTGGTATACAGCAAAGCCAGTTATTTTTCTTTTCCTTTTTGGCTTTATGCTATTCTGTCTTTAAAATATTTGTCTGGAATACCCAAGGGTTTATTGTGTGTTTTGTTTTTTGCTATAACATGATAATAATCCTTCCAGGATTACTGTTTAAATTCTTTTTTTCTTTCTTGTGGTTTCTTAAGTAGAGAATTACCGTAGATTCAGAAATCAGATATGCTTTGGTGCACTGAGGAAATCTTGTCTGTAGCTCTTAGATATACAAATATTGTTTAGACATGCTCTGCGTGCGTCGTACTGGAGGCTACAAAATGCGGGATCAGCACAAGCTGAGTCCCTGAGACGAGAGCAATGCTGCTAAGTAACGTTCCCTGTAGGGGAATGCTTTGGACTCCTGTTAAAGCCAGCCTTTGAAATCCTATAGCAATAAAATATTGCCATGGCAGGGAAGGTCAGTTTATGAAATGAGTACAAAAACTTGTATTCTCTTTACTTTAACAGCAAGGGTAATTTCTACCAGTTGGCATAGGATTCATTTCCTGTAACAGAAAGCAGGATTTCCTAAATTTGTTTCCTGTGCACGCTGCCATTTAGAGCTCTTGAAGAATCTTTATTCAGATATCGGTTACAGCCTTGGGGCTCTGCAAGCGTGTCAGTGGTAGCCATACAGTAACTAACAGGGGAAATGAAATAGATATAATCTGATGGGAGATAAGAGTGCCTGGGATTCCTGGGCAAACCGTCGTTAACCCTGACAACGCTCCGCAGCGGCCAGGACATGAAAGGGTGCCGAGCCACTGCCTCGGCGCGCCTAGGCAACCCTGAATGGGACGCTTGTCGAGCAACTCATGACGCAGACGGATCCGTTGGTCTCTCTAGAATGAAATTTATTAGTCGATATCCATTTCAGTGGTGGCTGGGGCGATTTAATTGTCAGAGCGAAGTTTGGGGGACAGTACGCCGAGTGGCTGCGGCCGCTCGGCTTCGTAACGCGTAGAGCTGCGTCCACCTTGACTCCTGGAGCGCCGTAAGGAGATCTGTTGATTTCTCTTCATCGGCGAGCACGGACTCTCTTGATGGGTGCGAGGGGTTTCAAGGTCGAATCTCACTTGTTTAAGCTGCAAAAATATTTTTGCATCCTAAATGTTTCTCCTGTTATGACTGGGAGCCCATATAGTTAGTTTTAAATGGTGGAGAATAAATGTCTGCTGTCTTGGACCGTTCTGAAAACGTACCTCCCGTATGAGGGTGCCCAAAATCTGCCACAGCGAGCCAGCGCTTCTGTTGCAGTCGCTGTTGTTTGTTGGCACAGCGGTACTTTCACGCGGCAAGGCCCCATTGTGTCGCGTGTTGAACAGGGATGGCAACTTAAATGCTTTTAGTAGGTCTGATAGGAACACTTCAAAACTGTATCACTTTTCCCCTCGGTAATTATTCATCAAGTCCTACAGAGGCTGGAAAGTGGCATGTTAAAAGGGATCGGTAGCGCTTCGTCAGTGCTGGTGCTGGACGCTGTTCAGCTGGAGGGCCGTTAAGGGCTGCGAGAAGTGCTCTGGGCCTGGAGCTGGCTCAGGAGCAGCACGGGAAGAGGGAAACTTCTTTTGTTATTCTTCCTCTTCTGTTGGCGTGCCTTTTTGGAGCCTTAGTGCCAGCCGACACAAACAGTGTTGTGCAATGATACGTGGTTAGTGCAAGGGTCTGTCACAGGCACGTGACATAGCACGTATCGTGTGCTGCTCTTCCATTTGTTACTCTGCGCGAGGCTTTGCTTTTGGGAGGTTTAAATGCTTCTGGACGTCGAATTTAAATGAGAGGCCCAGCAGGGACAGAGGGAGGAAACGTTCGTCAAAGAACGTAGCAAAGGGTGCTTTAATAGGCTGGGTTGGGAGCGGAGATTTGCAGCTTACGGGCATGGACATGTGAACATCTAGCGCTGTGTGCACCGAACAAATGCCCGTCTGACATCACGCTGTGAAAAATTCTGAACAATTATCTATTAACCAGAGTATTAAAAGCAGAGCTCAATCTCTGCTCTAGAAAACTCCTAGGAGGAGTTTCCAACTCACTGTCTCAGTGAGTACTTTCTCAGTCTAAGGGTGTCTTGAGGAAACTTTGGAAAAAGATAAGCTTGGGAGATCCTTTGCTTTTTGTAACCTTTGCGAATATATCTGTAAAAACGTACTAATATTAATTGATGTAAGGTCTTTTAAGGCAAAGCCAAATCAACTTTTTTTTTCAGTTTGATGATTTAAGACTGAAAAAGCTACCTAAAATAAAGCTTTTATTTTTTAAGATAATCTGTTTATGGGTGAAAGTGAGCTGAAAATGTTCACAAAAGCTTGTTTAATTAGACCAGTTATCTGGAAAAACTTGTCTGGTAAAACCTGGACTCAACGCAAGTATTTATAGATTTTATTTTTATATGTATCTTGTGTATGTGATTTCCCAAAATAAATTACATTTTAATCTAAGGCATCTGTGGCTGTTGGAAGAAGCAAAGGCAGAAACTGAAAGACACAAAGGATCATTAACCTTCGAGTCTGTGTTGATCATGTGCCTAGCCCTCTTATGCCTTTGAAAATGTCGCTGTAAAATACTTCTAGTCTTCTGTATCTATTTGAAACAAATATTCCTTGATCCATTTTAGAGGCAAATGATAGATGGGCTTATGTCAGCTAGCCCTGCCATCTGTTACTGCCGAGATGTCCTCTAGGACTGAACCCCTGTATCTCAGCAGACTGGATTTTTGATGGAAGTGTCAGCTGAGGTGGGAAGTCTGGGCAGGATTGCCGGGGAAGGAACACAAAGGATTTGGTCTTCTGCCTTGACTCTGGTTGTGTTTAGTGAAAGCTTGTGGAAAAAAAATCAGTGCTAGAGATCTTTAAATAGTAGAAGCTGCAGTCAATATGATGTTCATAAGTTCCAGTAGATGAGATCAGGTGTGTGCCTTGAAAAATCTGAAGGCGTTTTTTGGTTTTTGTTTTATAAGGTTTGTGGAGCAGGGGTTTCCTACTGAAGGACCTGTTAGCTGTCTTATTGTTTAGATGCTGATCGGTACAGAGATTGGAAGCTGGTGATGAACTGTGTTACTGCCAAGCAGATAGGAGTATAACACAGAGCTCATTTATTTGTTTTGTTTTTTAGTGTGAATTGTCTCACACTCGTTTAAATAATAGGATTTTTTTTCTTTAATAGTTTAGTCAGTTTTCCTGTTTTCGTCAGGTGTTGTAAGAATGGATTCTTCCATCCAATAGGACTTGGATTGTATTTCTGGATGAAGAAGCATATTTCTTGGTGTTCTCAGAGAACCTGAGCAACTCCCACTCGTTTCGTAAACGGAGGCTTCTAGGGACGATAGGCTGGCTTTGTTGCAGGCTTGAGTCTTGATGACAATTTCAGAGAAGCTTTGTAATTACTTCTGGGAGTGTTTTCTTAGGAAAAAATAAGTACTTTTATATTTCACATTTTTGAATATGAACTGGTGTTGAACATATTTTAAGATCAGGAGAATAATTTGCCTCAGTCAATACTGTGGTATTATCTCCATTGAAATAATTTTGTTTGACAAACCTCTGTTGTGTGGCCTGAGCCTGCCATGTGTTACTCTATCGAGAACCGTTGTCCAGGAGGAGACTCCAATGAGCTGTACGTGGTATCATCTGATGGGCAAATACAGCTCTTCAGTAAGTTGTTATTCTGGCTTCAGTGAAAATAGCCTATATGCCTTGTTTGTCAATGTGTAGACCTGTCCGTTAAATTAGAGCATGATAGAAATAGCCCTTTGATTGAAGAGTGTAAACTGGTAACGACACTGGGCAAGGAAGCAAGAGACGATGAGGTGAATGTGGAAGTTGACTGACTTTGCTTTGTGTTAGTGTTTCTGGTTTTGATAACTGTAAATCCAGAGTGAATGCAGTGTTTTTTATTTGATATTTCATAAACAGCAGTCTGAAACGGCACGTTCGGAAAGTAAGTGTTTGTAAATAGGATTTCCCTAACGTGCCAAACCATAGGTTTGAGAACTCTAGGCTTGTGCAGAGAGTACCTTCATTTGCTGAGGGATTTTCTTTCAGGACCTTGTAGTTGAAGGCAGGTGATGACCTTGTGTGAGGAGCCTAGGAAAGCTTTGCAGCTGAATCGGACAGGAGCTGGGCTACGAAAATTCTGGAAATACTGTTAGCAGGTTTTGCCTTAAGTTAAAAGTTTACTGTAAAGAGCCACATGAGAGCACCTGCATATAAAATACCTCATTAGACTGAGTTCTCAATGATCTGACCCAAAGGCCATCAGTTTTGTTGGAAAGTTCGGACTGGACCTAGTACCCAAAGCCGTGGTTAGAGTGCTGGGGCTAAGCTGGTGTTTTATTTTTTCTCTCCATGAACACGAACAGCTTTAACTTATGATAAAGCACATGTTTCAAAATAAGATTACATATTAATGATTTAGTCAAAGTGTTATGATAGTTGTTTCACAGATTCCTTTGGAAGGTGAAGAAGTATTCAGTCCTGTGAGGAATAAATTGAATTACGTCCCCCTGCTTTACAAGAAGTTAAATGCTACAAATAATTATGGTCGTAGAAATGGTTGTTCTAATGAAACAAATAAAAAAACAAAGATAAACAAACCTTACAGTGAGCCTCTGAACAGAATAAGACAAGAAACAGAAACTTGTTTATGTTTAAAAAAAAAAAAAAACACTCCTGGACGAGAGATTCATGCACCCTGCGATTCTGTTTATTTACTGAGGAACTTGTGGCACGTGAGCGGACGCAGCAGCTTTCCTTCTCCCAGATTTGCACAGGCCCTGGATGCAAATCCTTTCTGCCCCGGAGCACTGGAGACGGGCGGCACGCGCTGCCGGGCTGCCCCACGCTGCCGAAGCGATGCCAGCAGCGGGCTTGTTGCCACCTCTCTCTTGGGTGAGGCTGAGCTGCCGCGAGGGACTCGGGTTCGACCTGATGATTTGTCTGTCGTTCCCGTTGCCCGGCAGGACACAGCACCATCAGTCTCCTCTGATGCTCTGCTGAGTTGCTCTGTGGTCTCTGTCACTGCCATCTCTGAAGGCACCACAATTAGCTCGTGTCCAGCACTCTCTATGGTTGTCTCCTGTTTGTTTGCAACCATAGCTGCATCCTCCGACATCACTGTGTCCAGCACCTGACAGCCCGGCGTGACCTCTCCACCTGACTCTCTTCCACCGACCTCCCTCACTTCCAACCAGCGGTGACGTTCGTGGTGGTCCCGTCCCACGAGCTTGGTGCTGGAGCCCCTGCTGCGCTTGGGTTGGCTCCTCCACTGACTGCTTTTTGTGTTTCATGTTATTCGCCTGACCAAAGGGGATGCGGAGGCTCGTACTATAGGTTACACAGTCCATAAACCCTCCTCCGGCTGGAGGGAAGCTCTTGCAGGGCCAGGGCCGGCCCTAGGGAAAACCACACTGAAGGGATCATTTGTTCTCATCACGTGGTCAAGGGAGAAAAACGGATCTGCTTTATTGTGCCATTAATGACTAAGGAACTTCTTTTCCAGCTAAAACCCGCTGTCCCTTCCCTTCTGGTGCTCTCTTACGTGACCTCTGGCCCGTCAGCCTCAGCGGATGGCCTGACCTCTAACCCTGCTTGCGTTTAGGTGGCCCTGGTCCAGTGGACGGAGAGTGTGGGCTTAACCCTGGTGGGCAGAGACCAGTCCTCCATGCAGCTGAGGACACCGGGTGGCCAGATACTGAACTTCACCATCCTCCAGATCTTCCCCTTCACTTATGAAAGCAAACGAATGGGAATAATCGTTCGGGTAAGTGGCTTTGGATACGTCTTTGTGAATGTCCTGGTAGCGTAACCTGAAGAAGAAGGTAAAACATGCTTACTCTCAGCAGTGATGTTCTTCCTTGGAGAATTTTACAGTATCTCTTATCTCTGATTATAAACTGGTTCCATGTTTTGAGCTAATAGCTGGGATTGTTTCGTACTATAACTTTTTTTCCTTTCCTGTATTCTGCCACACATGCTGTTAGGTATCCTGTGACATTCTTAGTCCCTCGCTCAAAGTAACAGCAAAATAGCGGGGGGAACTAGTTTCAGTTGATGGTTTAGAGTGTGTGTGTGCACGTGCACGCGTGAGTCCTCCGCAGTTACAGCTTCCTCTAGCTGCTCCTTCCTGCTTTCTTTTTTAATTTCTGTTTGTATTTTCTGGGGTGCATTTCGGCAGCACAGCTCCGCGGGCCCCTGCTGCGCAGCCGTGCACACGCCGGTGCCGGCGCAGAAGAAGCGGTAGCTGGGGTACGTCCCAGGGGGCTGCCAAACCAAGGGCCCTGGAGGTGCTGGAAAACACTCGGAGGATTTTTGCTGCAAGTGCAAGGGAGAAGGAGAAGCAGGAGGACCTCAGGGGGCGGAAGAGAGCTACAGTCTGAACGTCTCGGCTATCTGTGCACTGAACCCAGGCGCAGAGGCTTTGATAGTTGGTAGAGATGCCTAGTTCGCTCTCAAATAAGCCTGTTGGTTCAAGTGCTCCTTAAGGCAGCACTTAGCCGTCGTACTTATCCTCTTCCCTGGGACCCAAATTGCGTTTTCCCTGCCTGTGTTGTGCCATCCCACAGACTGACCCACGCGAGGAGGCAGGGGAACGCGGGAAGGAGCAGCACCACGCGCGCAAGGAGACCGGGCAAGCAGCAGTGCCTCTGCGCCGCTTAAGCGGCCTTTGGAGCCCGCTCTGCGTCCTTGGGGGTTGTCTTCTCTCTTCGCTGTGGTTGAAAGCGCCTGCCGTTCCTCTCGTGTCCTCGCCGCAGTCAGGCTGGCAGAGCTGTTTGGGACTGGGGCTGCGAGTCAACCTGGTCACACGAGTCCCCTTCCCGATCCCGCCTGCAGGCAGGATCAGCCACCAGGAGGAGTTCACAGGCCCAGCTTAGTGTATCTTCAGAGCAGTCGTGGTGGTTTAACTGAGGGGTCGTGGAGACAGCAACAAGCAGGAAGGAGGAAGGGGATCACAAACTGCTGCCACAGCAAATAACTTAATCCTGACTCAAAGTCTGCAGCAGATAAGTGATAGCAGCTCGTTTGTGGCACGCTGGAAGCGCTACCTACGCCTCCGCCAGGCGTCGAGACTCTCGTGAGACCCCGTGGAGGTGCGCAAGGCGAGCGTGCGCGCGTGCTGCAACTGCAGGGAACTCCGGAGAATTTGTTGAGCCTGTTTAACATAGCTCACAGATACGCTGAGGACACTATCGTGAGCACGGTTTGATATAGCGGACTTAGGTAGATGGCTGCATCCGTGCCAGCAGGTGCCTTTATCAGCAGCAGCAGGCGCTGCAGAGGCTATGTAGGTGCCCAGTTGAAATTGTACACGTAACTTTGTGGTTCTGTATGCAAACCCAACAGAAGATCAGACTCTCAAAAATAAATCACCCTGAAAGAGGAAGAAAGTGTGGATGCTAAAAACAGTAGAGGAGAGGAGTTGTCACCATTATTATCATTAGTTTTCAAGAAAATGCTAAAGAATTAACGTTAGTAAGATGAACTCACCCGGTTAAAGTGAGGTACTTCCGTCTGCCTGCAGAGCAAGCAAGGTGAAGCAGTTAGAATATTTTTTTTATAGTTGATTACAACATCCTTGTGTGGATTTTTTTGTTTATTTGTTGTCCTTTTTAACTGAAAGTACAGACATATAATCTGTGCTAGGAATCTAAAGCATGAATATGGAACCTGTGATCCAGAGCAAGATATGATTTGCTGTATCTCTTCAGGGGATCAGCAGCCTTGTTATTTAGGGTGGGGAGAATGGGTAAGATCTTACTTTTACTTTGTGGTAAAACAGGATTTCTTGGACATTTGTTTTGGGGTACCTGGAAATAGGGTATGGAAAATATCTTCTGCCTCTTGTCTTAAAAGTTACATCAGTGCAAGAGATGCACTTTGTTTTTAGTTGGGAGTATTTGGGATCGTTATCTCATATAAAGGGCTCTTCTAGAACAGATTAATTTGGTCTGCTCTATTGGCTGACGTTTCATAGTTTCACAAATTTGAACTTCTTTGGAGACCTGGAAGAGCACAGCCCCTGTCCAGAATTGGCACTACGGGAAGATAATGTGAAAGTGGGCAATGCAATGGTTGTGTTCAACAACAACAAAAAATAGGGAGAACTTCGGTGTTCTTGTTGCCAAAAGATGAGATGATAAAGATGGAACGGTGACGTGTGCACATAACGTCACTTTTTGGTAAGCTGTGAATGGCAATTTGCGTTTAGCACAAATTGAAAGCGCTAAAGCTCATGCAGTGGACACCCCGTTTGCATTATCCCACTTGCGCACTTCAGACTTGGATCTCCTGCCGCTCGGGGAGCAAATGCTTTTAAATTTTGGAGCAGAGACCACAGTATGGTATAGGGGGACAAATCTGTATTTGAAGTTGTTCCAGGCTTTGAAACATTAAAATATGCCCAAGGGCAGGAATGTTAGTTGAAGTGGGGCTACCAGGGCGAGCTTGTTCAAAGTAATCGGTGTGTTAAATCTGTGAACGCGGAGAGCTGACCGAGTGCGTGTGAGCAGAGGGAGTTCCTGCCGGCGCTGCGACAAACGTCTGGTATCGCGCTGGAGGGCTGCAAGGAGTATTGTGCATAGCCATTCAAGTACAGCAGGTGTAATTTCTTCAGATAAATTATTTTTTACAGTGAAAATGACATGGAGATTTTAGGCAGCCTTTTAAAGACCTAAAAGAAAAATGCTAGCAGTAGAAGAGAGAGGATTGAACAACTTCCCCCTCCATCGCTTAGCGTAAGTGCAAGCTTTTCGTGAGATACTATTTTATCAAAGCTATAGAAAGTGAGATAACTATCACAGCCACTGTACATTTCATTAAATTGTGTTCATAGGCTCAGCAGAGAAACGAATGCCCTGAACTTCTTTCTCAACTACATGGAAAGCAGCCTGCTTTGGGCAACTTTTTTTTATCCCCCCCTCCTCCTCCTTTGTACGGTATGACAAGCTGGTGATTTGAAGCTTATATATTTTTAAGTATATATTAGCTACATGCCTCTCCTTTCAGAAGAAAAAGGTTTCTATTACCATTTCTGTATTTGGTGTAGTGCTGCTGAAGGAGATGGCAAAACTCCCACCCGTGGTCACTGGGAGCAACATCAGGCCCCAGACGCTGAGCCTCTAACGCAGGGATTTATCTTGTTGGTAGAAGCATCAGCCCCTCTCTGTTGCACTTGTTACTTGAGTATCTTCATTTTGCACCCAGTGAGCTGTATCTAAATCATGCTCTCTCTACACAGAAGCAGGTTTTGCGTAGCAGACGCTGGCTGGCTGGGTATTACCTTGTGGTGCTCCTGTACATGGTGAAATACGATCCTCAAGCAGGTTTTTGATTTTCATCTAAAAAGAAAATGTTTATAAATCAGTAACTGACAGGTAAAATTTTCTTGTATTAAATATACATATATGCATGTTTAGGCACTCATGTTGGTTTTGATTCCTAACTTGCAAGGTAGTTATCTCTTTAGTATATTTTCTGAAACTGTTGCCTGTTTGTGGAAAAAAAAAAAAAAAAGAAATAATGGAAGGCAAAGCAGCATAAAGTAACGAGAGGGCAGCAGAAGCAGTGAGCAGCCGCGGCAGGGAGGAATTGCAGAGTGAAAGCACAATCCGCGCTCGGGAGTGCAGTAAGTAGAATTAAAATGGTAATATTTTCTGCTCAGCTATGCAGATATTGGCCCATTCTTACAAACTGCCATTTTCTAGGCTGGCAGGAGCCACTGTGCTCATCTTGCCAGACTTCCTGCTTAATCTGGATGTAGAGTTCCAACAAGTGATTCATGCGTCCAGCTTGGTCTTGCTGTTACTGAAATCCTTGGCAGAGACATCTGTCTCCCCTGCTGGTCCTGTCCTGTCTGTCTCTTATAAAAGATCTCTTTTAACACATCACTTTAAATAAAGTAGCAGTTAATATTGAAAACAAGTGGCAGATGTTACCTTATTTGGGACATTTTTGCAATATCTGCTTGTTACATGTGATCAACTCTCCTTCCTTGGTAGCTTATTATTCCAGTTCTCAGAGGTCTCGTCTGAACAAGGCAGCCGCTCTCTTTACAGTGCTGCTCGCTTACTTATCGTCTTCTTGAAAGAAGGCCTGTTTGTTTGACCACAACATTTTCCATTCTTCTTTTTCTGTGCTCTTTTTCCCCTTACCCATGTGGAATGATCTTTGTTGTAAAGCAAAGATAGCGCTATTGTCATATCTGGAATTGAAAGAAGCCTTTGAACTATGGCCAGATTCAGACCACGGTGGAAAAAGATGCCTCTCCAAAACAATATAACTGGCAAATCTCTGTGCAGATTTATAGCATGATCTTACCATAATATGAGAACGCACTAACCTCCTACTGAACTCGGTGAGAGGAAATGACTAATGCAAGGAGATAGCTGATACAGTATTTATATTGGACAAAAAGTCTAAACTATCTTAAGCCAGCTCTGCAGCACGGGAAGTGGAATCTGTATTCAGTTTCCTACAGAGATGTTGCTAGACACTTTTTAATCAAATAATTTAATAGATAAGCCTTTACCTTTTGCCGCTACCAGAAGTGTTATGTTTTACTTTAGCAGATTCTAGTTGTTTTGGTAGTTATATGTATTTTATTTTGGGGATGTAGGATGTGTGCCTATCGGTATACGAACACTGAGCGTTGCAGAAGACACGGGAAAACATCCTTAAGTTCAATTATAAGAATCTTACTTGTAAAGATCTTTATGACCTTGGCAGGAGTGCTCGGTAAAGGATCTTGATTATCTTTGGCTCCTTCTTCTGAATTTTGTTACCAAAGACACTTTTTGCCTGTTTATTACCTGCATTAGGTGTTGCCTTTCGTAGCCGTGGGCGTAAACTCTTTTCCCTGTGCCGCAGGCTGTTGGACTTTTACCCTGACTCAGATTCCTGTGTGAGAGCTGTCACTGCTGGTTTCTGCAATGGCAGAATAGATTGAGAAGTGTATTAAAGGATTAAAAATGAAAAAGTGTTCATTGTACTTGTTTTTAAGTAATTTTTCCCTCTTCATTCACAGCCATCTATTTCCAGACCTTCCTGGGCTTTTTGGTTTTGCGTGTTAAGTTTATTTTCTTCCTATCCCTGGTGGCTATCTCTGTTTACAGTGCAGTGTGTTCGTTACTCATTGTTTTGTCTCCTTTGAGGAAATTGCCAGGGTTTCCATTAGCTTATAATGCTAATAGCTGTGACCTCCTTAGGTATCTGTCTGGTTAGAAGGGATTTTTTAATTTGTGGTAATGTAAATATGCCTTGCTCGCAGCCTACAAATTGCTTATATCAGATAAGGCAGGCAGCAATCTAACCTTTCTGTGGCGAGCTTAAACTTCAATTGTGTTTATGCCGTATAATGTAATAGAAGGGTAAATTAGGGTGATTTCTACTCTGTTAAGCTTTGCACATCTGTGTTATTGTTTCAGGAAAGTATAAGGTTTGAAGCAGCTTTGGGGCGTGCGGGGTGGTTATTCCAGTGGCATATGCTGTCAGAAGAGAGAGGTGTCTGCCTGGAGATCACGCGTTGCTGATTCAATGCTGATCATCCTCTTCTAAAACACCAATTCCCACCGCGAATAACCAAACTTCAGTCAAGTAGACATCTCCTTTTGGTCACGAGACAGGACGTTGAGCTACATTGGACCTTCAGCCTGACCCAATACAGCTATTTTTGACTTATGCAGAAAAACCTTGTGTCCTAGCTTGCTGAGCTCACTCAAAATGTGCTAATCGGGTGCCCAGCTTAGACTCTTTTGCTTGTCTTCTTCAGGATGAATCAACAGGAGAGATCACTTTCTACATGAAGGGGGCTGATGTGGTCATGGCTGGCATCGTGCAGTACAACGACTGGCTGGAAGAAGAGGTACGGGGCAGTCTGCCTTAGATAACGCAGGATTTCTTGGGCGAGTGCTTTTCTTGTGCCAGGGCGGCATGTCGCAAAGCTAGTGATATCAATGTAGCAGGATGGAGTAGCTGTTAAAACACCTGCAGGCTGAAAGATCGTTGATACAGCAATTCATTGGATTAGCAGTCAGCCAAATATATGTGCAACAGCAGTGCCTTTTAACGGAAGTCGGGTGGCAAGTTCAACACATCCAGTGCAGGATAATTCCCGTAGGTGAAATTTGGCTCAGAACTGACTGACGCTCAAGATGGCCAAATTTATCATGGGCTTGATCCTGCATTTGGATTTATTTTAAACTGAAGGATCTATTTAATTTCAAAACTGCATTTGGTAGTTTTCTGCTGGGATGTGTTTGTCAGGTTGGCCGTAACATTGACACAGACTTCGCAGCAGTAGCTTCAATTACTGTTTTTCTTCCCTGTGTTCATAGAGATAATCCATTAGTCTTGTTTTAAAGGCTTTGCAGCCAAAGATTGCAGGTCTTCGAGTCGAAGGCTTGCGTCCTTTCACTTGTAGCCGGAGAAAATGAAATTAATGGAGCTAGTTTTGCCATACAGATATGGACGTTTTTGTTTCTGATCACTGAGGCAGATTATAAAACCATTTCAGATCTCCTCCATTTTTCCTCTTGAGTTTATCATGCACTTTATCAAGATGTTGTAGACTCAATAGGGTTGTTCAGATGGGACAGTTATTTTCTTAACCTGCTCTCTTACGTTGCAATCTCTGAAATGCTATGCATAAATCATCTTCCTCAAGATGCTGTTTATGGTTTACAGTGTAATTTTTCTTTGCAGTGTGGTAACATGGCTAGGGAAGGCCTGAGGGTTCTTGTTGTAGCCAAGAAGTCTCTGACTGAGGAGCAGTATCAAGACTTTGAAGTAAGTTTTTTTTTGTTTTTGCTTTATTTTTAAACAAATAATAACTGAAGTGATTCTCACAGACCTCTCATGATAATACTGCCTCCCATCTCCCTACTCCTTCTGACAGAATTGTTCTTAAACATTTTGCTGTTCATTTAATCCAAGTAGTGTTTTGAGTGGCATGCAAGAAACTAGATCCTATCCAGTTCATGAATCATGAGTAGTTCATGAATCCTGCCTTATAGTCTTTTGTGTTTATAGATTCTGCAAATATTCATCATTTGTTAGTCAAGTTGTGTTTTGGGGGTAAATGTATTGGCTTTTAATTTTCATGTTTGCATCCTGACATCAACGGAGACTGCGAACAACCTGAATATAACACAGCCAGGCTTCGTGGACATACAGACTTTGTGCATGGGGTTTGTTACATGGGACCCCAAACACAACATTAATTTATTTACCCCAGGCAGGCAGAATTCAAAGGAGAATTACTTGGTTGAATGCAGAGATGAGATGGTTGACATGTTTAGGACTCTCTATGGCCCTTACTAGTAGGAAGCGTGCTAGTCGTGAAAGCCATGGTTAGACCTGTAGTGTGAGGGAGTCATTTCCAGGCTTTCTGCAGGTGTCACTTCAGTGAGTGTTGTGCACTTGTGTGCAGAAGGACACAGTGTAAATCGCACCGTCCGCTTGGCACAGGACTGAGACAAGGTGCCAACAACTTCCTGAAATATTTTCAGCTTCGTTCTGTAATACAGAGCTAGTGTTCCCAGGGCATTACAGGTGGCACCCTTGAAGATAGGGAGACTTTGGTGGTCCTGCTGGTTAACCCTTTGTTCCACAGAAACAGAGTGGCTGCTCGAGAGACTGTGACTGTGAGTGTGTGTCTGGTCTGTCCTCAGGCTCGCTATGTGCAGGCGAAGCTGAGTGTGCACGATCGCTCGCTGAAGGTGGCCACAGTGATCGAGAGCCTGGAGATGGAGATGGAGCTGCTGTGCCTCACTGGAGTGGAGGATCAGCTGCAGACAGACGTCCGACCTACTCTGGAGACACTGAGAAACGCTGGCATTAAGGTCTGACTAACCTAACGTTTCCACTCACAGGAATCCCATGGAGTACGTGGCAGTGTCCTGCAGATAGTAAATTGAAACAGTTTGGAGCCCTGTTGAGCTAAATATTTCATCAGATGCCCTTTGGGAGTGGGAACAGTGAGCGTCTGAGCATCGCTTTGCATACAGAAAGTGCTCAGTGTGTTAAATATTAACATAGCATTTCATTGATACTTTTCCTCCCCCAGCCTGCTCTGGCTCGTTCTACAGAGAAACCTATAGCTACTCTCCTGCCTATGCCTTTGAAGCTTGGTGTTTTTTTTGTTTTTTTTTTGTTTTTTTTTTTAGGGTGTAGGTGTTTCTTTCAAATGGTTGCATGAAGTTAGACTGAGTTAGATCTGTTCTGTCTCCTGGCGCGCAAGTTCTTGGGCTGGGGCTGAAGCACCCAGCTGTGAATATGAAAGTGTTGGAGTAGCCGCTAGAGGGGGCCTGAGCCAAAAGAATGAGGAGTGGGAAGGCTTTTTCCAGCTTTCTAGCCTTTGCATCCAAGACTTGAACACCTATAGTCTGAGCTGTATTCAGCAGCGAAGGAGCAGGCATGATTCCTGCTTAATTTTCCCCTCTAAAAATTTCTCAGTCAAATCCTGGATTTGCAAAAGGAAAATAATGGACCAAATGCCCAGATTTGGGCAAGAAAAGTAAGTAGAAGGGTTCTGGTTGTGGTTTCTCTGTTTCAAATACCAAAGTGAGCAAACTCCCAAGCTGGACTACGAATCCAAAAGCAGGGCTGCTGTTTGGGACTTAGATAGGAAGCAGGACGCGAAGCTTCGAACAGGCTTTCAGAAGCGCTTTCCGTCTGGAGCCATCCCTGTGCGCAGCAGGAGCTTCGGCAAGAGGAACGGAGCGAGGAGCCTTAGCCGTACTGCGGCGCTCTCGCCCTGCAGCGCGGTCCCAGCTAGACGTTCAAAAGCGGTTTCGTTTTTTCTTTTCACCTCGGCTGGAGGCACGGCCGGGGCGCTGAGTGCGCAGTCTTGCATGCTGAGTGCCGCGGTTCTCGGCAGTCTCCGTGATGGTATGTTCGTTAGGGTGTTGCATGCAAGAAGTAAATCCAGGCTGAAGGCAGTCTTATAGTTGGTCACAGGGACCATCTTGTTAAGATCGAATCTTTTTCTAACGTCAGATTATTAAACAAATAACTGTCGTCCTTTGTTTGTTTGCTGGGGTTTTTGTTGTCTTTTAAGTTTAGTTAAATGTTGTTGGGCGTTGTCTTCGAAGAATAAAAACACCAATGGAAAAATAAAATAAACTCTGATATATTTATACTGCTGAGGGAATTCCCTGCCAGATTTGGGGAGTATTGCTGCTGGCATTGCTCGCTAATGCCCCCCCACCCGAAGCGCAAAATGAAAGGAGCAGTGTGTATAAAAACAACTTGGTCTGTTCCAGCCGCACACATCAGCAGTGAGCTAACCCCGGTTGCATCATCCACGTTTCGGGCAGGGCCGTGAGGGATCTCTGCAGCACGATCTGCTTATTTCAGCCTGCGAGAAATAGCTGGGATGGGATGCGTTAACACATGCATACACGTTCCTTAGCTTGCGTTTTGTGGGGTTTATCAGCAGTATGTTGAAATGTTGCAGGTGGAAAAATGTTGCACCTAGTTTGTAGTCTCTTTTGCATTTCAGCTGCTAAAAGCTCTGCCCTCTTTCATGCATAAGAATTTTTTGTCCGTTTTAAAACAGAGCTTTCTCTAAAAAAAAATAATAATAATAATAATAATGATGATAATTTGTATATATATCCTAACAGTCCTTTGGTATGCCTGACCTGGCAGGTGGTACTTCTAGACCTCTTGAAGATGTGGTTAAATTTTGTGTTTAATATATTGAATATCTGGATTTCAGGTGTGGATGCTGACAGGGGATAAGTTAGAGACAGCCACGTGTACAGCGAAGAATGCACATTTGGTGACAAGAACACAGGACATCCATATATTCAGACTAGTGAGTAAAGCAGATGTGCCTCTCTCTCCAGACTTGCTCTGCACACTGAATTCTGGGTCAGGAGGGGTGCTGAGAGCACAACTGTAGCCCAGGAGTAGACCTAGAATATTTAAGTTCTTTTACCCCGACTCTGAGTTTTTGTTTATCTGGCTGTATTCTTTGAACAACTCGGTGTGCTGCCTGTTCATTCCAGTTTTGCTCCCTTTTCAGACCGTTTTGTTTATTTTTTTCACCTCAGCCGACACAATCCTTCCTCAGTTGCCATGTTTTCTTCCAGGTGACTAACCGTGGAGAAGCCCATTTAGAGCTGAATGCCTTCCGCCGGAAACATGACTGCGCGCTTGTTATTTCTGGCGACTCACTGGAGGTAAACTCCAAACTCCTCAGACTGTTCAGGAACAGTCTCAACACACTATAGCTGAATTGGGATTTTTAAGGAAATATTTGTAGCACAAATATCAGTGGCGCTTCTGTTCCCTGTAAAATAGGTGTGTCTGAAATACTATGAGTATGAGTTCATGGAGCTGGCTTGCCAGTGCCCTGCTGTGGTGTGCTGCAGATGCGCACCAACGCAGAAGGCCCAGATCGTGCGCTTGCTCCAGGAGAGAACCGGGAAACTCACCTGTGCAGTAGGTAAGAGCTTCATTTAGTAGGTAAGACCCCCGTTATAGTCCCCTCAGACTCATTCCTGTGTCTGTATTAGGCAAAGCTTCTTTGATATGATGCGTATGTGGATATCTATAGCTGCGCCTGGATATGGAAAGACTGAAGAGTGTTTTAAGCATGTAAACTGCTGGGGGGTTTTTTGTTTTGTTTTTAAGGCCTGACTTCTGTCGGCTTAAGGTTGCAAGGAACCAAAGTTTGAAGTTGGAAAGAAGTGGTTTTTTTACTACCTTACTGCACAATAAGAGATTTATTATGCTTATTTCAGAACTAAAAGGTGGCCGCACTAGTTAAGGTTGAGTGACCACGTATGTCATTTTTATTTTTTATGTTCTTGAGTGAACGGTCCTGTGTCATCTCACAACACCTGGAAATGCTGAGTTAAGGAACAGGTGTTTTGTAGGATGATTGATAAGATGAGGTTTTGCATATGGAAACTTTAATGACAGGAATAGATATTTGGGGTGGTATATTTACAAAACAAAGAGTTTAAACTTGATCCGGGAAGGTGCCATTGCTGGTATGAGGTGAATTTCAGCGTTGCAGATAAAAGGCAATGCTGAACCCTACAAACCAGATTTAGGTGACCAGGAGCTTTGAAATCTTGTGGCTCTATAAAAAACTGCTTAAAGAATTTAATCTCCTAGTTTCTATTTAAAGTCTTGCATTTTTTAATAGGGTTTAATGTTTCTTCTAGCGTTACAGTCTAGTCCAGGTGCCTTTGGTGGGATTGCAAGTTGCCTGTGCTGCTTAACTGCCAATGTCCTTTATTTGTGCTCTGACCCACAGGTGATGGAGGGAATGACGTCAGCATGATCCAGGAGGCTGACTGTGGTGTTGGAGTTGAAGGAAAGGTGGGGTTATGTCATGGTTAATAACACTTCCTATGGCACTTCAGAAGCAAGTCTGCAGACTACTCCTAAATGAATCTTCAGAAATTCATGCAAGAAGGGAAAATCACCAGACCAGAAGTCTTACCATGAAAAATAATTTGGCTGTAAACTAGGCTACTGTTCATCTGAACTCAAATTCATTATTTGGTCCTTGGAAGTTTCCCTGATTTTGGACCTTTTAATTTTTTCATGATGTGCCAAATTCTGGAGCTGTAATTGCTCTGATAACATACTGCAGGTACAATTTAAGAACTGATTTTATTAGTTTAGAAAGCAAACACTGGGTTAGCAGTCGGGTTCCTGCGTGGAGCTCCTTGGAAGGCAAGGACGGGATTTGGAGGCTGTGGAAAAGACTCTGCTTGCAGTGAGCCAAAACATTCAAATTGAGTGAACTTTTGAGACTGAAAATTTGTGTTTAAAATTGACTTGATATAAAATGAGTATCATGCTAACATGCATGTTGTGAATCATAATCCAGAGGGTTGCTTAGAGTCTGAGGCCAAGGATCAAGTGGGAATTCTCGTCATAGTTCTGCTCTTTGCTGAAGAGCCGTGGTGGCAGGCAGAAGTACTGAGGTCATACTGTCCTCCGCCTAATGCAGCGTAAATTTTGTTGGAAATTCTGTCAGTAGTAGCTATAATGGTATGGTATTTCTTTGTCTCCAGTAATGAAATGATCTCATTGTGCTTTTACTTGCTTTTGTACACAGGAAGGAAAACAAGCATCGCTTGCAGCAGATTTCTCTATCACACAGTTTAAACATCTGGGCCGTTTACTAATGGTGCATGGAAGGAACAGTTACAAAAGGTCGGCAGCTCTCAGCCAGTTTGTAATCCACAGGAGCTTGTGCATCAGTACAATGCAGGTAAATGCGCTGTTTCGTGTGGGCTTTTCCTATGGGGAGATGGAAGAAAATCAAAAAGCAAAGGTTTTACATTTCAAGTCGGATGCGACTATTTCTTCTCCTTGAAATGTTCATAAATTGGAACCTGAGATCTGAAAACACACAAGTTCTTGGTGTTGGACCAACATCAGCAACTTTTTCAAAACTGGGCAAACAATATCCTATCTTAGAAAATACTGCTGTGATGCAGCGTGTTATTGCTGCTGTTCAATGCTGTTATGAAATACCTAATCGTGTAGTAGGGCAGCGCTCTTAAGGCCTCTACTAAGTAAGTGCACTTACTTACAGGTGCGTTTTAAGTTAGGCCTTCAAGCAGTGAGACAGAAGTTAAGTAACTATCTGAAGAGGACCTGGCTCAGACCCCGATGAGGTTACTGCAACCTCAGTCTGGCATGGGGAGGAGTGTTCCCGGGAGCTGGGCCGGGAAGGTGGTTGAAGCACATACTGACTTTCCCAAGTGCTCCTACAGCAACGTGAAAGCAGTCTGTTCCTCTCCATTTCAAAGGGAACCTGAGAAACAGATGTAGTATTTACAAAATTTCAAGCACTGCTGGTGTACAGAGCCCCGGCGTAACACAAATGCAATTGCCAGTTGGCAGAGGGAATTTAAGGACATTTTAAGAGTTCGTGAGCCAAATTCCATTCTTAGCTGTGTTCCCCTGAGTGAAAGATACAGTTAAGGACAGAGTTTGCTCTTTGGGAGTTGTGTTTCCATGCCATAATGTACTAATGATTATATCCTTTCAAAACACTAAGGTTTTTCAGTAAAATACTTGATGTTTTTGAGAAGACTTGTCCTTCCCTCTCCCCTCTTTAGAATAAAGGTGTTGGAGAGAGATGAGTAGAGACGTAAGGTTTGAACTCAGGGGACAGTCTAGATTGTTCTGTGGTAGAGACACTTCCCAAGAAAAAAAGAAGTAATTTCTGTAACTGACCAGAAATTAACTTTAAATGCATTGGAGTTTGGAGTTTGTATTCGTGGGTGCCAGTTCTTTTTACGATGTTGAAGGCAGCATCTGAGGGTGAGGTGTAAATAAGTACACACCTGTCCTTCACAGCCTCTGCATGGCTTTGATCAAGCCAGTCGGCTTTGGAGGAAAGCCCTTAAATTCCTTTTCGTGGAATTAGTTTTCCATGTTCAGTTCTCCAGTGTTTGCTATTAAACATAGCTTTCTTCCAAGGTTTGTGCAGGAATTAAGAGCTGATATTACATTCTTCTGTCTTCATTCCAGGAATTTGGAGAGCCCACTGCAAGTAGTTTCCAGTTTGAACAAAGTATATGTTTCAGCTGTAACTTGTATTGCAGTGCATCATGCCTGAAAAGCTTCTTTCTTTCTTTTCTTTCCTAGGCTGTTTTCTCGTCAGTATTTTACTTTGCTTCAGTTCCTCTCTACCAGGGCTTTCTCATCATTGGGTAAGCGCTCACTTCTTTTATTAACAGTGTGGAAAACCTATGCACAATGAATAGATTTTGGTCACTTAACATGCAGGGCATGCCTGCCTCTGCTCCAAGTGTTTCACAACACTGCTTGGGAGGGCGGGTGCAGTCCTCGTCTCCTTCCCGCTCCTCTGCGCTGAGCGAAGGGGCTGAGGCCCTGCAAGCCCTGCTAGCAGCCTTCCCGAGCGGAAAATTTTTCTAATTCAGAATCACAGAAAGTAACAGCAAGCCGTTCTTCCAAGAAGAGGTCCTTCAGTCCTGGCGTAAAGCAGAGGGACAGTCATATCACAGCGCTGCGGAGCCTGCGAGGAGCCAGCCGGGACCGGGCACCCCCCGAGTGAGACGGCAAGGGCTTCCCCCACCTCTCGCTCCCGGCTGTGCTTGCCCTGGGCCCCTCGCAGGGACCACCTGGGCTCGTCAACAGGAGGAATCAGTTGCAGTGTGAAATACACTGGTATTTCAGTTGCAGTCATGTGGTTTTGTATGCTGTCAAGCACATAATTAATTAAAATTGAATAAAGTTAATTAAATTAAAATTAATTAAAAAAAGAAATGGGCACAGCAAATTCATCCCTGCTGCCTTCTGATGCAAACAGCTCCCCAGCCTGAACCGTGCAGCAGCATTTGGAGTGGGGTAGGTCTGTCCCAGACTCCTTAATAAACTTATAACAGCAGTTGCAGTACCTGAACCAGTCATCCATCTATGAATGTTTCTAATCAAAAGCTAATCACGAAGCAAATACTGCAGGTTTTTCTTACCTGCAAAACTCTGGTGTGTTGCATGTGCAAATTTTTATAATACGCGCATTGTTTAAGATTTGGAGAGTACTATGTGTGGTTTTTTTTTTCCCCCCTGAGGGCTAGCATTTCTATTTGTTCATCTAATCCTTAGATAATTTTGTGGTTTTCCACCTTTTTCCCAGGTACTCCACAATTTACACCATGTTTCCAGTGTTTTCTCTAGTCCTGGACAAGGATGTTAAGTCTGAAGTTGCAATGTTGTACCCAGAACTCTACAAAGATCTTCTAAAGGTTTGGAAGACTTGCTTCTCTGTTTTGGTTTAAGATATCTGTCTTGATTTGGGACTTCCTCTAGAAAAGGAGTCAAATATATTATCTGTAGATACGGAACTTTATCGGACATTTTCAAGCAAAATTCTTTTAAAGGCAAACTTGGGTTAACAGATATAACTCGATTTCCTTGCAGTTTGTCGTTGAATACTGCATGAAATACAATTTATTAGAAACGGCTGGGAAATAGAAGTTCCATTCTGTGGGTTATTCTAAGGATTTAATATTACCAACTTGTTCCAAAATAAAGGGAGAGGAGAAATTGTCAGGCGTTTGGCACTATCCTAAAGCCAGAAAAGGGGAGGGGGAGGAGAAGATATCTACTCATTTGATGAGGAGAAGGAGGTTATCACATAGTTTCTGGAATCGAAATTTGCTTTAAGGGTAATCTAAAGGGATCTAAAGACTTGTTTGTGTATCCTTTTTGTCGCATTACCGTGAAAGGCAGCGATCTTTTTCTTAAAGCAAAGAAAAAATGTATTTAATATTTACCATAGAAATATCAGGAAGGTAAATTTTGTCCGTAGTGCGTTTTGGTTTTCTGTTTTCCGTGTTGTTTTCTCCTCGCCCCTGTTCTCCCTGGAAAATTTTTTGAGTAACTGGAGTATGTGGACTGGGAACATCTTCCTTAATTGAAGGAAAGGGTGGGCTGAGGCTTCAACAGATCCTTTCCCTCAAGGATTTCTGTTAAACAGATACTTTCAGAAGCAAAGCCTATTTTTCCAATAGCCTGAATAAGTCTCCATCTGGTTTCACTTGCATGTTGTCTCTGATGTCATAAACCACTAATTCTCTAACTATCCTTAGGCTTGGTCAAAGCATAGTTTTTTTTTTGTACTGGTATAGCTGTGTTGGCTGGAGATGCTCCTTTTTAAAACCTGTCTGCCTTCAGTATGATGTGATTTGTCTGTGTGTTTGTGTATAGAAATACAATATTAATGTGCACGTATGTATGCGTATACACACATGTATGCACGTATTTCACAGTACATTGATTAGACTCGTGAGACATCTTTACATTGAATTAACTGTGTGTGCAGTAAGGAAGAGGTTGTACTGAACTGTGCAGTCAGTGGAGTTCTGGAGTCTCAGGCCTCCTTCATGCAGCATGAAAAATGAGGATAAAGAGACAATGCTTCAGGGCTGCTTGTTTGCTTTTGCGTTTTTTCCAAGTCACCTTCAGACTCTCTCTCGTTAATGCTGGATTGGTATGTAAGTGAATGATCATAAAAGAAAAACCCAACAGACCAAAAATTTCCCTAGGGGCGACCGTTATCATACAAAACGTTTTTGATATGGGTCTTGATAAGCATCTATCAAGGTAAGAAATTAACTTCTGTTTGTGCCTTTACAAGTATTAACAGGTACAGAATATCTAACTTCTTGTATCACAGGAAGTTAAGTCAGTCATGAAGTTAGGCACGCATCCTTAGGCTAGTGAATATGTATATTTTTTATCTCAGGAAATGTTGGCAGCATTACTAAGGCAAGAAATGATCAAAAACAAAATGTTGTCAGTAACTGGTCAACACTGTCGCAGGCAACAATGTTCAAGTTCAAAGCATTATGCTTCTTCCTATTGGGACCATCCAATAGGATGTCCTTTGTAATTCTGGACAAGTTCCTTTCAGAGTTTCAATTGCTCTGTCTGTAACATAGAGCTTGTGACTCGTCATTTCTTTTGAAAATGTTTTCAAATCTATGAATATGCAAGTTGCTAACATCAGTATGCAAAATACAGAAATCATAGATTTACATTCCTTTCTGTGTGTTATCTAAACCTGTCTATTAGCTATGACAATTATTCTGGTTACGTCGTAGCCGTCTCTAGTGAAGGACTGGAATGGAGCTCAAATTCTTGATCATATCCCTTGCACTCTAATTAGGCTGCTGAAACAGTTAACCAAATTCCTAAATTACAATGCATCCACTTTCCAAAAGTGGAAGTAGTAATTGGGATGTATGTCTAAGAAGGCCTTTTCTTTCGGTTCATCCCTTTTTTTTTTTTTTTTTAAATCAAGTAATCTCAGACATAAATACTTTCTATTACTGATAATCGGGGAATCATGGAAAACACAAACATAACGCTGTACTATAAAGTTAAAATAGCAATACGATCCTGTGACAGAATTTGTTGTTTTCCAAAACTCCTTTATCAACAAGAGTTGGAAGAAATGTGCCAGAATAAGCAGCTAATTCTTACTGATTTGGATGATGTTACCATCCTTAACAAGGGAGTGAGGCCAAGAATATAAAAACTCTCTTAGCGTTATCCTCTGAAGTCTAATGCAGTAGAATGCTGTGACAGGGACAGTGGTCTTCTGTTGCTATATAAATATGATGGCAAAGCCAAGGCATTTATAGAAAATTCACAAGTGGTGGAAATCTAAAGCCGAAGGATGATGCATTGAGGGAAAGATTTCTTTTTGAGCTAAGACCACTATCTGGTTACAATATTTGGTTAAAGTGACTTCACTTCTGATGTGTTAAATAACTAGAAAACAGCAGACCAAACAATTGGACTAGTTGCTAGCAGAGATGAGCCTAACCGAAAACTGGAGCAGCCCGAAAGTTTGGAAAGTTCACAGCTGGATTTGAACTTTATGGCTCAAGCTCTAGTCGCTTGCAGGTTTTCCCTTCCGAAACTAGCCTAGTGTGATGGATGTTGGTGTAGATTACTCATGCTGCTAGCATGAGTTATTTGTGCAGGTGGCTGTCCGGGGCGTTGTGAGCCTTCGCTGGCTAGCCAGAATAGGAGCATGAAACAATGCATCATAAATGACGCTTTAATATGTGCTTCTTGTAGGGGGAAATGTAAAGGGGAGAGAATTTGGTCAAAGTAGTGCAAAGAGAGGTCAGGTTGTATTCACTAAGCTTTTCAACACCTTACTTCCATCTGGGCACTGAGGCAATGCAGTAGATTTTAGAAGTATTTAATATCTTTTAGCCTCTGAGTAGTGTCCAGCCACTTTTCTGGGAGGATAGAGTTTCATGATGTTAGAAGTCTCCAATTGCCAAAAATGGTGTGCATTAATTTCCTATCTCCGTGTGTCTATAAATATGATAGACTGTTATAAAATCTGGGCACCTCTACAGTAACTTTTCCCTGTCTTGTCATCAGTTCTGTCTCCTAAATAGTAACTGATTCATTGTCATTAAATCCAACAGGTTTCATGAGAAACAGTTTCAGGACACGAGTATGTTTCAGCCTTTCCAGGATTAGCCGTGGGTTTTAGGGCTTAGACTGATATTTGAATAAAATATCGAAACATTCCGTTCTCTGACAGGTAGCATCATTATGTATGGAGCACTTCTCCTCTTTGAATCAGAATTTGTCCACATCGTCGCCATTTCCTTCACATCCTTGATTCTCACCGAGTTGCTGATGGTGGCGTTGACAATCCAGACGTGGCATTGGCTCATGATAGTGGCTGAACTCCTTAGTCTCTCTTGCTACATAGCTTCTCTGGTCTTCTTACATGAGTTTATTGGTAAGGTGAAATGTTTTGTCTTTTCTCCAAACAGTTGTTTTGTAACCTGGATAGAAATAGGACTGTAAGGACATGAATTGAGCTTAAAGGCTGTTGATGAGGGCAGCATAGTTATAATTACAGTGGTTCTCACTGGAATAAAGTCTCTTTGATTTGGAGGCACTTGAAAGATGATTCCTCCTCATAGCCAGACACTAGAGGAGATGAAGGCGGTCAGTAAATTGTGTGGTGCCCAGTGAATCTCACCCTTACTTTCAGAGCTCCACCGCATATAAAAAATCGTATACAACAATGGTCTTTGTTTCCCTGTGGGAGCTGAACTTAAAAATGTAAGTCTCTATCGTTGGTTTGAAACATTTCATCTTTTAACTTGGTGAAGTAGCTGCCTCGTAAAACTTCCTAGTTTTGTTTGCTTCACTGGCACCCTTTTCTTGCTGTGAGTTTTATCTTTTGGGTTTTTTTTTTCTTTTGCCTGAAACAGAGCTAATACTTTTCATCTTCCTGGCTAAAGGAAATAGGCTGAGGAATTCCAGGTTCCCCGATAGCCATCTAGTCGCACGTATCAGATCCCTAGAGGTTGTTTCAGTGTTCGGTCAGGAACCACAAGATGTCACTGCTTGCTCCATAAAGCTCTGCAAACTCTGAGGGTAGTGAGGATAACTTCCCAGTGTGATAGATCTGTATGTCTTGCATATGGATATACTGGCTCCATTTTGAACGATCCTTCAGCTATTTTTGCAGTGCTTCCAAGATGCAATAACCGAATGATTCGCTGCAATACCAGCCAAGCAGAAGACAGGAACTCCTGGAGTGAGCGAACAAGTAGTGCATTTAAAGAAAGCTCAGTCCTGCTAGAAGATGGAAGCCCTGTTTCATATGGGGCTTACGACGGGTACTTGCCCGTGATGAATTCTATGCCTTGCTGGAATTCCATGAGAAACGTGCTCTGTGTGTTTTGTGAAAGAGAAGGGAAGAAGAGTAAGGAAGCAAACTGTATGGGTTTTGAGCTGTTGTGCATGTGGAGAAGGTGAGGCTGCTAGTGTAGTTAGATATTATTCCTTCTCTGTGCCTCCTCCCAAAATGTACTTCCCATCTTCACTGATTCTGTGCTTGCCCCCTACCCCCCCCCTTTTTTTTTTTTTTTTAAACAGATGTTTACTTCATTGCAACCCTGTCGTTCTTGTGGAAGGTCACCGTCATCACCCTGGTGAGCTGCCTCCCCCTCTACGTCCTGAAGTACCTGAGGCGAAGGTTTTCTCCCCCGAGCTATTCAAAGCTCACGTCATAGGGCTGCTCTCCTGGCCCACCAGAGACAAATATTGCACATGGCTGAGAGACAAAAATCGTGTAGTTGTTACTATACCGAATACATGTGGTATTTGTGTAAGGATCACATGGTGATCTCTGCTACATGCTGCTTTATTGAGAAAGACTTAACAACTGCCGTGACCAGAAACCTAACGATAAATGTGAGTTTTTGGAGGGTGAAGGCTCTTGTTAGTTCATCCAATTTTTGTCACTTTTGTTCAACTGACTTGGGGCAGAATGCATGCAACTGCAATGATGATTGCTTTCTCATGTGTGAGGCAGAGTATCTGAAAGCTGCTAACTGACCTTGGAATTTATATGTGATGAAAATTTTAAGTTACTTTTTAAGTATCTGTGATGTTCTTTACATGTTGTTACGTTGTTTTATATTATTTATCTTTTTGATTCAAGTAGGTACATTCTTTCTCCATCTTGGAAAACCCTTACTGTAGGTGAGGCACTGTACTGCTAACAGCCAATCCCTGATTTGTGCCATGCCTTTCTCATAACGGAGCTCCAGCGTGCTGGATCTACACATGTTTCAGAATCTAAGCCTGTCCGAGATTTTCCTTCCGTTGAATTGTGGTTAACCTAGTGTTTTTGGCGCTATCCAGCCATTGATAAATATAGAGAAATTTAGAGATAAATACAGAGAAATATATCCCAAAGTAAAGAAAATTCCATTTTGTTTAGCTTTTGTGCTTCCTGTTAAAGGGAACTGGTGACATAATAGCTTAACTCTGTATTTATTTGTATAGGAGAAAATTATCTAAATTAAAAAACCCTGTTGGAAAGAAATTTGCAGCTGATCAGCCTTAAAATGTGTTGACAACGTGAGAAGCGACTCGTACGGCTCCGCAGACAATGCGGCAGACATGTCTTGAATCCTTGGAGACTGAAAGGAAAGGTCATGGAGCTGCTGCTCCTCACAGCTACACAAAATCTGTTTCCTGTTAGGATGAAATAGTGAAGATGAGCCACAAATAAGCTGAGGCACTCTAAGTGGATGTTGTTCGTGACACAGTCTTTGCAGAGAGGCAGTTTTTGAGAACTTGTTTGCTCTAAAAACTAAACCTGAATTGGAGAGGCAGGCACGGAGGCTGTACCATGGGCACTAGACTAGTATGCAGAGCAAATTAGGTTTTTCATTTTTTTTAACCTTTAAAAATCTCAGTGAGTTTTGTTTTTATCATAAGCATTGGTCCACGTTATAAAACAGACTGCTCAAGCGAACGACAGTCAGTTAAAGGAACCTTGAAGGGTTGAACGTGGCTGAGCTTTCAGTGACTGCCAGTCTCATCTAGTGACTGTTTAGTCTGTGATGAATTAGTTGCTTGCTGTCTCGTTCCCACATCATAAAACCCACCATTGTAGCTGGCATTGCTTGGTGCCCTGGTTGGTAGGCTGTGTGGAGGCCAGAAGCGGTGGATCCCAGCAGCCTGAACTCCCTTCTCCTCTCTAAAGACCAGATCAGGGAAGTCGTGCTGGTACGAGGAGCAGAAGCTCCTTTGGCTTCCCTGTGCCGTGCTGGACCTCCTTTAATGGAGCGCCAGCTTCTGCTGCCATTGCACAGGTGTCCCACTGTCGCAAGCAGCACAATGCTGCATAAAAAGCTCTACTGAGAAAATCGGAGTGGAAAATGGGTGTCTGGTTTTAAAATGAGAGATGCAGTCTCTATTGAGCCGTAGTGGTGCATCTTGAATTTTCAGATCTGAGAAGCCATGTTTATGGGGCTGATGCATGCTAAGTACCGTGAGCAAGGTTTTGCACAACCTGGCCTGCCTTCCTTGCTCTGAATTACTGTGAGTAAATATCAAAGATGAGGTGAAGCAAGTTCCGAAAGATTTGGAGAAAAACTGGACGTGCACGCGGCTCAGGGGGAGAGGAGGGTGCAACTAAGTAAGACCCTGTTATTTTGTGTGAGGCAACCCTAAGGAGGCTAGACGGCTTCCCTAAAGAAACCTAGAGAGTAAATAGCAGCAGTGCCTGGGATGGCGCTCCAGTGGGGCGGACCGAAGGGTGCTGCGTCCTTCCGCTGCCGCCTTTCTTCTCTGGAGCAAACCCACTCTTCGTGATGTAGATGCGATGTTCTCCTTCAGCCTTTTTCTCTTAATAGCCTCTTTGGTAGCAACCCTATTTCTCTGCCATCCAAAAAGGCCTCTCAGACTGTGGATATCCTGTTGGATTTATTTATTTGTAGGAAACACACTGAACTGGGAAGACTGCAAAATAGGCAGCTTCTCCCATTCTCCTTGGGCACTGGCTTTTCAGTGGCGCTCCTGCAGGTCTAGAGAAAAAGCAAAAAACACGCACAGTTTCTTCCTACCACATTGATTTTGTGTCCTTTTACTTCTCTCCCGTTTGCTTTTCTGCTTTTCCAGGGGAGGGAGTCAATCGTATCAATACAGGCGATAGGTACTACTGTGTCCCCTTTGGGAGTGCAATGTGTGTTTTAGAAGGCAAAAACACAAAAAACACAAGAAATAGTCCCTCCCCTCAAAAAGTTAGTTCCAACGGTGTCCTCTGTGTGTGCTTAATTTAGAAAGTTTTGTTTCAAAATCCTTGAGGAATAAGAACGGTAAACACTTTAATCTAAAACAATGGCTTTTCTTTTGTGCTCCCTTCTGATTAGGCTCTTTTTTGGGGTCCTAATACTTAGCACCCACCTTTATAAACAACCTAGTGACTAAAGACATTTAGCTAATTCTTGGTATTCATCTTTTCAGTAATGGTTTTAAATTTTACCTTTATTTCCTTCTCTTCTAAATTTTTCCAGAACAAAAATTCAGCCCTTTTACTTGTATATTCAAATTGGGAGAGGCCCTGAAAGTCCCATATTTTTAAGTGATTTGTCTGACAGAAGAAAAGCCGTGCCTGAAGAGCCCTATTGTGGAAGAATTGGGCTATCAGCCTTTTGTGAATTTTGCCGCTTTGCCAAAAAGGTTCTTAATGTCGTCTTTGTCGTGACTTGCTACAGCTCCTGGATGGTGTCAGCCTTGCAGATGCTCTGGATTCCCCAATCAATATTTGATTTAAGTAGATTTAGATATGACAGTCAGGAAATTTTCTTTTTTTTTTTTTTTTGGCAACTTTTGTGACTGACAAGTCAAGTCTCTCTTATTCTTTGGAAAATACATGACAGCGTACATCTTTGTAAAAACCCTGTCCTTATCTGTTGTGTATTAGTAGTTAAACGTCCTGCGACAATAACAGTGCCATGCTACTGTATGTAAATATTTGAGAAGTATATATGGTAGAATTCACTGTTTCCTGAAGTCAATACAGTTTACACTGAGTGGACCATATTTGCAAAATACTAGTTTATACCAAGAAAGGGAGTGAATTGTGATTTCAGTAATATTTATTGAATCATAACTTTAATAAGGAACTTGTATTTAGTGCGTTGCTAGTAATTTGTAGCTGTGTTTTGGGTGGGGGTTATGTTCCTTTGCGGCTAGTTTTTTGCACGAGGTTGTAAATCCAGGAAGCAATTTCTCTCTAGGTACACGTTGCGTTTTTTTAAAGCAATCGGAAAATTAAAACTGCTGTCTAACAAACAGCCGCAGCAAGGAATGATTGTTGCATTTTCCATGCTTAGCACGTTGTAAACTATTTCCCTTAAGTTATTTAAAAATTTTTTTTGGAAAAGAAAGTTTAATGCATGTGTTCATACTGCATAGTTGAATAAATGTATCTTTGCTGGAAATTAATTTCATCTTTTTCCTCTAGTATGCTCATAACTTGTACAGAGTGAAGCAGTTTTCCTCCTCTGTGTAGTATTTTTTTTGGTCATAGAATTTATTTTGTGTTCTTATTCCTTTGTTTTAATGTTCTGTGTACTGTAGCAGTTCATATAACTTGTGTGCTTTGCAACTGCTGCAGACGATGCCGTGGGACAGCAGCATACGTCACCCCGTGGGCTCTTGCTCCCGCGGCTGCTTCTGGAAGGTGTCCAGCCAGTGCTTTGTTTCTTCTGTGGGTGGTTAACGTGTAGTTTTGTGACAAACCCTGTTCTGTCCTTCATCGCTGCAGTAATTCAGGGTGTGCTGTCACCCTCATTTTATTTTATTTTATTTTATTTTATTTTTTAACTCTTATATGCGTTTCCTCCCCTCTGTATCATACACCTTACCTGGAAATGCCACCGAGCTTGTCCTGTTTGTTGTGGTTTTGCTCAGTTCATAGTCAAATTGCAACGTGACACTCTTAATTCGACAGCAACAGCCTAAATTTGTGCAGTGTCCTATCGCAGTGGGGTTGGTGAGTGATGAGTGACATCCCTAATGTGCCCTCAGTCGAGAAATATGTGCTGAGAGCTTCAGCTGTGGCTGGACCAAACTGAGCAGCACCCAACCTATTGTTTTCCTGTGGTCTGCTGAACTATCACAATTAAAAGCAATGATGAGCTCTCTTACCCTCTGCAACTCCTGAGGGAAATTTTGCTATAGTTGGGCAGGGATCGAGTTACATGTATGAATCCCTAAAGCCTGTGTTTTGTTTTTCTTCTCTGAAAAGAGCTGCTCCATCATCAGATGTATAAATCTTTAGTTTGCACATACAGTGCTCTCAACCACATAGGCGCACTGCTAATTGCATGCAGCTCACCATCATGAGTCCTTTGCACAGAGCTGTCCAGGTGGGAGCAGACTCATCTCCGCAGTTGCATGGCCAAGGCCTGATCCATTTCCCACTGGAGTTTTCAGGATGAGATGAATGGGCTATTTTATTTACTTATTTAAGTATTGCATAATTAATAGTCTTTGATTTGCATGAAATCCTGGGTTCTACAGCTTTGCCGATATGGTCCACTATTACTGCCTACTACAACTTGTGTACTTATATGCCTTTCAAAATATTTATAATTGTCAAAGTTGTTTAAAAATGTTAATTTAATTTAATTTTTAATTGGGGAAATGGATTCTGGTGTCAAAATGATATTTACTGTGATGCCGATGTTTTGTACCTGTCATCTAGTTAAACAACATGTAAATACTCTTGATTCAAGAGAAATATGAATGCCAATTATTTATTGTTCTGTGGAGCTATATGTTGCAGATGTGTAAGAACATAAAAGGGAATGTTGTAAAACAAGGTGGAAAAAATAAATTTTATGCAACCTCTTTATTTCACCCATATATACCACGTATGATGCACCTGAGTTTGTCCTGGTGCAGTCAGTCCCAGATGTGCTTTGGCAGAATTGAAGTATATAGGTTAAGTTGCGTTGTGGCCCTTTCGCTTGGCTGAATGGGAAACACACATCTGAGCAGTGGTCCGTACTTTCTACTGACCGGCGCAGACCTGCGACATTATGCTTTGTTAGAATGTCTAAAAGCAGTTTTCTAGCTGTCTTAACTCAGTAAAAAAAAAAAAAATATATATATATATACACACACACACACACACACATATATATACACATATATATAGGTTTGGAAAGGGCAGCTTTTGCTGTCCTTTATTGATAGCTAGCTTCTTGCAAGATTGCCTTCTGCAGGTCAGCATGGGTCTTTATTGTAGTTTAATGATGTGGAGTGGTTTTGTGGAGAACAAAATTTGGCAGTGGGAAGGCTGTGCACCCTGTGTGTGTCCTTGGGTGCCTTTCCCCCCCACCCCGGTTCCTGTGCCCCTGGACAAGTTGCTAGAGACGGTCAGGTACTGAGGACCTCGCGAGTTTGACCGCTAGGTGGAACTTCAGCCCTGGGATTGCCTGTCTGGCCGCTGTGTTTTCTAGAACCAGTTAGTCCCAGAGTACCCGACTGTCCCAGGGCTGCCTGCCCTTTTTTTTTTTTTTTTTTTTTTTTTTAAACATTCACTCCAATTTGAACATTCGATGTGAGGAGACTCAACTCATTTAGGAAAGATAGTGGGCAAATTATCCTCGCACTTTTTTTGAACTGGTGTAACCCAGTTGTGGAGAACAAAGCTATTAATGCTGAAACCTGCTGGTGGGAGTTAGGAGAACTGGGCCTTTTGCTTGAAAAGCATACGTGCTTCTTTTAGAAAAACAATGATGCAATATCATTAGGAACAGCTATTTTTAGGATGTTCTCATCACTTGAACGTTTGATTAAGTAACGTGCTTTACCGTAGTCACACTGATAGGTCTGGCTACTACGCTTTTGTGTCAGAAACAGTGGGAAAAGGCAGGAATTTGAAACTGAATATTCTCCAAAGGGAAAACTTCAATAACATTGATTTCAAACATAGTGCAATATGTTCGAACCAAACGAGTTCTACCAAAAAGTAATAGTTATAAACATTCTCAAGAAAATAAGAAGATAGAATTGGATAAGGTAAATCTATAAGTTGTGTTACAATATTTAAATAAAACGGTGATTAAAAACTACATTATAAACTCAGTTACAGTCATATGAAAAAGTTTTTCTTTTGGATTCTATAGGGTGTGGATGCCAGCATCTTAACCTCTCTCATGAGTAACAACTTTGGGGAGGTAAAGTAGTTAATACAAATGTTAAATAAACATTTTTGTGATGTTTGCACACATATAATGAATGCTGTAGACTCCAAAAATGACAGTAACAGACTTCTCTCCCAAGTGTTACCAATTTCCCATTTTAAATGGGTTACATAAGTCCTAGTTAGTGGTTCTTTTAATTTCTGTACAGTTTCTTTTTAATGGTGAAATGTGTAATTAAAAAAAGCTAGAAATAGTTTTTCTAGACTCGCTCTGGAAAGGGAAGGAGAATTTCTGCAAATCTTTTTTTTCACCCAAACATTGCATAATAGTAGAAATGTCAAAGATTTCCACGGGGTTTAATTTCGTTCTTTGTATGGCTGTGGTCATATAAGAAGTTTGAACACTGCAGGGGTTGGCAGATTTTTGGAAGATCACACATCCTGGGATAAGTTTTCAGCCTGAGCTTTACCAAAGAATGCCAGCGGCCTTATTTTTTTGAGTTGTGGTTGTATTATACACTGGTGTCTTTTTTTTTTTAAAGGAAAAAAAGAATAGGTGCTGGCTGGTAATTGGGTATCTTAAGGCCCTGTGCCTCATGTGTTGCAATAAAACATATAGTAGCTTCTCTTTACTTTAAAACATACAAAGAGCCAGAAAACATTGCTGATATGCCCTCTGCCTGCCTTTCCTTCTAATTTGTCAAGTACTGACAGCTGTCTATCTACTTTGCCTATTCTCTGGTGTGTTAGCCTGGCAGTAAATATCATAGTCAGCATAGTTATTCAGCAGAGGAAGGCCAAGTGCTCCTATCCCCATGTCTCAGGTAGGAAACGGCGGCAGATGGAGCCTGGGCTCTTCAGGTTGTACCGAAAACCCATGACAGAGCATGGAAAGCAACACTATTTTCTTTTTTCAACTATGAGGCTTTCTCCTCGCTTTAAACATTGAAGTCAATCCTGTAGGAAAGGTACTTACTCCATAAAGCATTCAGATTCTCTTCTTAAATTTGGAATGTGATTGCAGGCTTTAAAAAAAAAAAAAAAGAAAGAAACTCCATATAATAGGGACTGATAAACCTCGATCCCAAATTTTTGCTGGGTGCCTCCACCTTGCAATTGGAATTGCAGTTCTAAATTACATCTGTGCTACATGCTTTGCAACTCCATGCTAAGGCACCAAGTTTCAGAAAAACGTAAGCAGCAGGTACCTGTGGAAATAGCATTGCCGCAACGACAGAGGTATAACACAAGCAAAAAGGCAGCTGAGTGTGATAGCAGTTATTTGCAGCATTAAATCCTGCTCCGGCACCCATTAAAGGTCGCTAGTGACCCTGACATGAGTGGCTCGCCTGTTTAGATGCTGTGGCTTCCTTGGCCCACAAGCTAGTCTTTGCTTGTCCTGAAACTCTTTGGGTGGTGTGGTGCTCTCTAGATTACATGGTGAATCTCCGAGTTTCTGCTTCTTGTAATTAAAGTCATAGATGATCAGCAAATTGCACAATCTGGCCTTCCTAAAAAAGTCCTTCCTTCTTCTGCTTTTTCTCCCTTTGTGGCCTAAGACCTAACTATTATTGGGTGAGTGGGTTACAAAAAAAAGGGCTTTAAAATCATTGCATTCCCACTTTAAAGCCTCCTTCTCTTGGCTTGCAGTAACTGTGCACGTAAGGAGGAATATTGTGTGCTGTTCAGAGTCTCTCACAGAAAGTAGTAACAAGAACAATCTGTGCGAAAGAATTTAGCGCATTAAAGATGGGGGTAATAGTCATTCTCATTTGTCCTTTTATGTGAAACAGATTTTATTTTAAATGTACACTCTGAGTAGCTTAACTACATCCAGAAACTTGTTTACCAGGGTAAAAGTAGAGTTGCCCACCATTTGAACTAAGAGCATGAATAGAAGCGAGTTCATTATGCTGCAAGATTCTGCTTAGTCAGCTCAGAAACACTGCCGAAGTGCACACCTTGTTGGGCACGTGGGAAGGGGGTATCTTCTGAGCCTGTGATTTCATCAGGCAGTGCATGCACTCATGTGTTGCGCATCTGCTCCCAAAAAGCTATGTTATAACTCCGTTCTAGGGTTTATATTCTCTGCATTTAAACGCAGCTCTGCCTTGTGCTAGAATTCTGGCTTTTACGTTTTTAAGACACGTCACTTTTGATTCATCTTGTCTAGCAGCAGATTTCACCGGTGCATAATTTGTCAGAAAGTGATGCAAATTGCGATTGATCAGGATTCCTATTTAAAAAGAGAATAAACCTTGCCTCAGTGAGGTCGTCATATAAAATGCCACTGATGCCACGTAATGGTCTTGATGAAGCATGATACCTATTTCAATAGTAATGATGTAACTACGCTGAAAAGAAACGCCGTTTGGTGCTGAGCCTACCATAAGGGCAAGGAACGCTGTCCGCAGAAGCAGAATTCCTTTGCATCATTTGTAAATTTGAAATTAAGGTTTTGAATAAAAGGCACATTTATAAGGATCAGCATTCAGACATTCATGACAGCCTCTGTCGGACAACGTCTCCTTTCTGACCGAGTGGTTTCCAGTGAATCACTGCGTTCGGCATCTGCCGTTGCTATGGCTGCAGTCCCGTATGGCAGTGCACGCCGGGCCATCGCTGTAATCCCTGCTAGGAAGGTCCCACGTGTGAATCGGCTCCCTTGGGCTGTTCAGGGCACTGTGATGTGGAGCTGGAAGCTCGCGTGGGTCGCTGTTATCACATTGTATTACCTTTGATCCTGTTTCGAGAATTAAACAGGATAGGACCTTTGAGAAGAGACCTCTGGCTTGCAGCAGCGTGAAACAGCGTATCAGCTTGCGGCGGGGGCTAACAGCACGGCCAGCGCTCTTCTGCTGGCCCATGCAAGGTAGGATCTTACTTCTCCCTAGAGATTGTGCTGGAAACGTTTATTATGCTCTCCAGCTGCACCCCTATTAGACTCCATCCTGTTCTCCTTACGTTTGACAACCAGCCCACCATGAGCTGTAAAATTTCAGAGCCCTAGTGAAGACCAGCCAACATTTTAACCGCTCTCCTGCCAAGGCTCCCTTAGAGCGAGCCTCCAGTGCAGTGATGAGAGCTCCTGCCACTGCAGCTGTGCTAGCGGTTAGCAAGCCTGGTGAAACCTAAGCACAAGTTTTGCCCAGACAAGGTTAACCTCCCCTAATGCTCACTGCGTGGCATCCTGGGTGTCAGCCCGCTCTGTGGTCACGCCTGATTTCCATGTGTTTGTACATAGCTATTGCCTATGGATGTGGATGCGTTTCCAACTCACTTGACCTGCATGAGATCCTTTTCTCAATTTAGTCCTTAAAAATAACTGGAGCAAGTTATATCTTGATGTTTACTAATGTAGCTTTAAGTACTTAATGTACCATTTTGTCTTCATTCTAGCCTGGAACAATTACTGCAAGCCCCACAACAAGCAGAAAGGTGGTTCTAACATTGAAGGAGAATAAAGCTAAAGAAGAGCAAGCAGATTTTTCCTCTAAATTGTGAGCTGGAAACCAGCACTGCTTCCTCCCCTTATCTCCATTTGTCTCTGTTCAAGGTAAGTAAAATCCTTGGAGGAGAAGACCAGTTTTAAATAGGTTCTCCACCATCATTGTCTGCTGTTAACTATACTAAAGCAGCATTTGTCAGTGATTCACAGTGTGGCATAGGAACTTGGACATTCACCCTGACAGCTGGGCTATAAAACGAA